AGGAACCTGAAGCGCTCCCAGTAATTGAGGTGTTTTATCTCCGTTATGCGCGCCGTGAAGGTTCTCTGTGTAAATTCTATGTCAGCAATTTCACCTGCCTTGAAAGGTGCTGTTAGTGTGCAGCAATATTCCAGCCTAGAGAGAACAAGTGACCTGAAGAGTGTCATCATGGGCTTGGCATCCCTAGTTTTGAAGGTTCTCATTATCCACCCTGTCATTTTTCTAGCAGATGCGATTGATACAATGTTATGGTCCTTGAAGGTGAGATCCTCCGACATGATCACTCCCAGGTCTTTGACGTTGGTGTTTCGCTCTATTTTGTGGCCAGAATTTGTTTTGTACTCTGATGAAGATTTAATTTCCTCGTGTTTACCATATCTGAGTAATTGAAATTTCTCATCGTTGAACTTCATATTGTTTTCTGCAGCCCACTGAAAGATTTGGTTGATGTCCGCCTGGAGCCTTGCAGTGTCTGCAATGGAAGACACTGTCATGCAGATTCGGGTGTCATCTGCAAAGGAAGACACGGTGCTGTGGCTGACATCCTTGTCTATGTCAGATATGAGGATGAGGAACAAGATGGGAGCGAGTACTGTGCCTTGTGGAATAGAGCTTTTCACCGTAGCTGCCTCGGACTTTACTCTGTTGACTACTACTCTCTGTGTTCTGTTAGTGAGGAAATTATAAATCCATCGACCGACTTTTCCTGTTATTCCTTTAGCACGCATTTTGTGCGCTATTACGCCATGGTCACACTTGTCGAAGGCTTTTGCAAAGTCTGTATATATTACATCTGCATTCTTTTTGTCTTCTAGTGCTTCTAGGACCTTGTCGTAGTGATCCAATAGTTGAGACAGACAGGAGCGACCTGTTCTAAACCCATGTTGCCCTGGGTTGTGTAATTGATGGGTTTCTAGATGGGTGGTGATCTTGCTTCTTAGGACCCTTTCAAAGATTTTTATGATATGGGATGTTAGTGCTATCGGTCTGTAGTTCTTTGTTATTGCTTTACTGCCCCCTTTGTGGAGTGGGGCTATGTCTGTTGTTTTTAGTAACTGTGGGACGACCCCCGTGTCCATGCTCCCTCTCCATAGGATGGTAAAGGCTCGTGATAGGGGCTTCTTGCAGTTCTTGATGAACACGGAGTTCCATGAGTCTGGCCCTGGGGCAGAGTGCATGGGTATGTCATTTATCTCCTGTTCGAAGTCATTTGGCGTCAGGATAACATACTTTTTTTCTCCAGTTCTCAGTGAGTATACTAGGTCATAGCAACGGTTCTCACACTCTGAACCTTGACATGGAGTATATCACGATTCACACTGTGATCCTTTACATGCTGAGGTATGTCAGAATTTACATTGAATCTTAACATACTGGAGTATGTCAAGATTCACACTGTGAACCTTAACATGCTGGAGTGTTAGGATTCTTACTGTGAATTTTGACATTCTCCAATGTACTCACAAGGATAAGAGTATGGACAGACGACCACTCTTGGATAAATATGCATCAGCTCTTGTCTTGAAGGTTATCACGTGAATTGTAAATTGCGCGGACGGAGACAAGTTGACTCACTCTTGAGCATTATATTTCTCCCTCAAGGGAGGTTCCTCGACGCTGATGAGGGGCTCTTGATCCAAGGAACTGAAACTGCACTCTCACCATGATTGTAATATCAGAGGATAAGCAAGAGGGTACAATGAATGATTACTCTCTCAGGTAGCACATTAATAATTAATAAATCATAGTTAATAATTATTCCTATCCTTGGTCCCAGGTTGATTCATCTGAAAACAATTTTTGTACATTTTGAGTGCAGCTTTTGTACACTTTTCAACTTGCATGGTGCTAGCTTTTACCTGTGTTAGTTCCTCTCGTAAATTTGGCTGGGGCGTCGCCGTTTTTGTATCAGATTATTAAAAAATACATTTACCTTGAATTATTGTTCAACAAGAACAACTGTTAAAGCAGGATAATCCCAGGGCAAATGATCATGATCCAGTCATCCTTCAGGACGAAAGAATAAAAAGGAACAAGTGACTAGTTAATGATCCAAGTCGGAGCCAAATGTCGTCATAAGTTTTCCAATTTGTGTACCCCTCAGGACGCTATGGAATTTGGCACTTCTCAAGGCGATGGTCTAGGATCTTCACTATTTAATATATTAATAAGGGGGGCGCCATAATTTCTATGCTGGAACTTTGTGGTGGTGGCTGTCTGGTTGGAAAGATTGGAGGGGAAGGGGGGTGTGGAAAATACTGTATATATTTTCCAGAAATTCAGTATTTATAAGTAAATATATGGCCATACTGTATTTAATAATATTTTTGTCATAGAAAACGGAAAGCCTGCGTCTGCGCAGACGGGACTCGCCATCTTGGTTTTGAATTTGTATTAGAACGTTGGTGTAATGGGTAGAAATTTTCGTGCTCTAGAGGTTAAAATTGTGTTGACACCTCTCAAATAGGAGGCGAAATTGGTGGATGTGCATTCCTGCATAACTTGAGATATCAAACGACTGGACAAAACAGCTCCAGGAACCTCAGATAAGCTCTCTAGATTTGTGTGTAATTCTGGCCAGCATTATTTTCATAGATTTAGTTAGAGTGAGGTTTTCTGAGTATGATACACATTAATCTCCAGTCAAATTGGTGAGTGATATTAAGATATATTTTCCTTCTGTTATGTAATTGTGTATATATATATAACCATTTATTATTTTTAATATACAGTCCACAAATTTATATATTTACTAGTATTCCTGGTGTATGTATATTTCATTTAATTAATAGGTCCAGAGCAACTTGTGGTTATGACAGTGGTAGGTATCGAAGGGGGACATTTTTGGCGACCTAGGTGTCCCAAATTCCTACTTGTCTTTGTAACATTGATAAATAATAATTATCTTTGTTATCATTTACTGTTATGTACATAATTAGTTACATTCAGATAAATGCAATTTTCCACATTTAATTTGCCCGTTGGTCCTTCGAATTGCATTTATCTGAATGTAACTAATTATGTACATAACAGTAAATGATAACAAAGATAATTATTATTTAGTCCTGCAAAACTTTGAAATCGTTGAGACTTGAAACTAAGTAACGAGGCCCTAAGAATTATTCTTGGTTGCTCCATGACCACTACAAATTTAACAGTGAAAGAATTAAACATAGCAAATGTTTTTTAGTGGTAATAATATACTACTTAAATTTTCTTGATTGTATCTCCATGTTGGACTGTGTAGATTAGCTATGTGAAGTAATTGTAACATTTGAAATGACTGTAATTGTTAAGATGTAACTATATTCAGTAGGGTCTGATAAAGATAAAATAAGATCTGTGAAGATTTTTTTTATCCAGGAGGGTTAGTCACCCAGGATAACCCAAGAAAGTCGGTGAGTCTGCCTTATTTCCATTGGGGAACTTCAATCTTATCCACCAGGATGCGACCCAACACCAGTCGACTAATATCCAAGTACCTGCTTACTACTAGGTGAATAAGGACAGCAGGTGTGAAGAAACATGTCCAACGTATCCACCCACGCTACACTGGCGAGTGCTCTGCCAATGTAGCCACAGGACACCCATTTTGACATATAATCCTGTTCCTTTGCGCTACCGCTCACATAACGAACATGGGGTGCACAGTAAACTATCGGCTTAGGTGGAACAACATAGAAGTAAGCTGCACAATAAACAAATAATTACCCTAAGGTACACTGGCCGAGTAGTCTGCCAGTAATGAAGCCGACGCTCGTTCCGACACCGGGCACTCGGCCCACTCTCACCTCTTCTGTGGGCTTTACTCTGCTTATATGCTTTCTTGTTTCCCGTGTACGCTGTTAGAATTGAAAAAGTTTGGTCTTCAAGCGAAACATTCTCTTAATAAACTATCCATCCTGCTTTTGTATGGTCGTTTTGCAACTTGTCGGTATTTTGCACCTCAATGAATATGTCAGTTTGATTTTAATGGGTTACCTTCCGTTAAATCTAACAAAATCTACTTTTATATGTCCATAATAATATAATATAATATTAATAATATCTTTATTTCTACAAGTACATGTACAAGGTATACATGTCTAGCTGACATTTTGCTATATAGAAAGCCGCTTGTTATGCAGAGCATTTCGGGCAAATTAGGTCAGTTTTGCCTCGGGATGCGACCCACACCAGTCGACTAACATCCAGGTACCCATTTTATACTGATGGGTGAACATAGACAACCAGTGTAAGGAAACACGCCCAGTGTTTCAACCCTCGCCGGCAGTCTTCAAGCTGGCACTGGACAAGCACCTAAAGTCGGTTCCTGACCAGCCGGGCTGTGGCTTGTACGTTGGCTTGCGTGCAGCCAGCAGCAACAGCCTGGTTGATCAGGCTCTGATCCACCAGTAGGCCTGGTCACAGACCGGGCCGCGGGGGCGTTGACCCCCGGAACTCTCTCCAGGTAAACTCCAGGTAATCGAACCCGGACCCTCATAGTGTGAAGCGAGAGCTTTTGCCACAAGGCCAAGGGCCACCTAACACCATGTGTGACGTTAAGATCGTTGTAAAAATAAGTGTAGAAACACTGGGCACGTTTCCTTACACCTGCTGTCCATGTTCACCTAGCAGTAAGTAGGTACCTGGGTGGTAGGTGACTGGTGTTGGTCGAATCCTGGGGGACAAGATTTAAGGACCACAATGGAAATAAGACACAGTCCCTCGATGACGCACTGACTTTCTTGGATTATTGTGGGTGGTTAACCCTCCGGGTTAAAAATCCGAACAAATCTTATCTTGTCTTAGTTTATGTCATAACCTCCAAGGCTAAGTAAAAATTTACTAACAGATTTAGATTTTACCACCAAAGTGGCTAGTTTATTATGCACCCCATATCCATCCTATGGAGGGTAGCGCAAGAACATATGGATACACAAAAGGCCCAGGAACTAGGCCCCAAAAGGGTTAACAGGTGAACATATGGGTACATAGGGCCACCGAAAATATGATTCACTCGGCCCTCGAGCCGTCGTAACACTTAAACCCAACAACAACATCCTCCATTGCTGCCCTGAAGCTCGAGAAAAAGAAATGAGAGTACCGTGAGGAAGATTTATGTTAGGTTGAAGTGCGTGTTATGTTGCAGTCACTGTGACATTACTGCTGTGCTGAGGAAAGAGAGCAGAAACTTCAGCATGAATGTTAATGTATTTCTTGAACGACCAGAAGGCTCGGCTGTAGTTAACTAGATCTGGCAGGTATATACCAGTAATAAACGTATTTAATTGTTACGTAAGATAAGATAGGATTTTTTTCGGATTTTTAACCCGGGGGGTTAGCTACCCAGGTTAACCCAAGAAAATCAGTGTGTCGTCGGAGACTGCCCTGTTTTATTTCCATTGTGTTTAATTATGTCCCCCCAGGATGCGACCCACACCAGTCACCTAACACCCAAGTACCTACTTACTGTTAGGTGAAAAGGGACAGCAGGTGTAAGGAAACATGCCCGATGTTTCCACCCAACCTGGGATTGAACCACGGACATTTTTATTATTATAATCAAGGGGGAAGCACTAAACCCGTAGAATTATACAGCACCTGTTGGGGGATGTGGAAGGTATTCAGGCTTAATTCAGGGAACTGGAGCACGGATCCAGTTCCCTGGATCAAGAGCCTCTCACCAGTGCCAAGGAACCTCCCTTGAGGGGTGAACCAGTCCTGGAATTTGTATAACCGGGCTAACATGAGTTTTGTTGGATTTTTACCATACCTACCTTACCCAAACAGTAAATTACACATTTATATGATGATGCAGAGAGGATTTTTATCCTTAAGGGTGAATTTCTCTCAGTGTATACATGCAGAGAGAGTTTTCTTTAATCCCTATTTCTGGGATTGAAGTAATCTTATCTGGTGCTAAATGGGTTACCATGAAGTCTTGATAACCCTCGTGTAGTTGATAGGTTGAAATACGTTTATGATATATTATTAAGATAACACAAGCTTGATTGTTTACTTAAGCTTTTATTCATGAAGTCTTAAGGTAACAAAAAGTAGTTATAAACAAAATTGAGTATTAGATTGATCAACCACTCAGGTTCCAGACAACACACTCACAATGTCATACATGCATGATATAGTTTACTGTGATCTTATCAGCTCACTGTGCCATATATGTTACATCACAGCCATTACACTTCATAGCCTGGGAATGTTAGAGACAAAATGCTGACCCCCGGTTTCAAAGCTTTGCTCTAGTGTGTTCACTTGTATTCTTAGTCCAAGTGTAACTGGGAGCAAGAGCTGACGTTAAACATTTACTCATTATACAAAACATTCATACCTTCTGTACTACCATGCATATTGTAAATATAGGGCATTTGATATGAATGCCAACCCAGTGCTCTGACTTCCTGGAAAACTTCTGAGGAGCATATCATGAACATACAGTAATAAAAGAAGCAAGAACATATCTATTTCTTCCATACTACGTACCACGTGTTCAATTCAACCTGGTCACAGATTGAGTCATGGGGGCATTGACCCCCAAAACCCTATCCATGTATAAACTCCATGCAAATAAAAGACACCCTATAATTTGAAACTCCCTGCCAAAGATACAAAAGGTTCTGTGTATGTCTACCATTCCAGAAATATGGTTAAAAATAAAGTAGCTCTTCAATCTGATTTAATTTCTGCACACGTTAATCGTATTACAGACCAGTGTATCAATAGCAGCCTGTTTACCCAGATCCAATCAGCAGTCATAATCATGTTCCTACTGGCATCATCATCTTAATGGTATGCAATAGAGATGTATCGGATGTGAAAATTTAGATATCTGCTGATGCAGATGTATATGAGGACGTCTTACTTATTTTGCGGATGCGGATGTAAGAAATTGTGCAGATGTTCCACGGATACAGATGTGGATGCATATGCGGATATTGTTAACAGTAAAGTGAGGATGCAAGAAATTGTGCGGATGTTCCACAGATGTGGATATCCGATACATCACTAGTATACAATATCAACAAGGAATAACAAAAAAGGCACAATACCGTGACTGGAACGATACACAAATAACCCGCACATAAAAGAGAGAAGCTTACCTATATATAGCCGTCCTGCTCCACTTCTGGTTAGTGTGACTTTGTCAATGGTCCAAGTCGGACCGAAACGTCGTCATAAGCTTCTCTCTTTTATGTGCGGGTTATTTGTGTACCAACAAGGAAATGAGGAAGACACGTGAAACAGTTTGGCATCTTTATGTATGTACTCACTGGAGTGTAGAAGAGTGTTACATGATAAAATATACGTATGTATATGGAAAGTACTAGAGGACCTAGTCTCAACTCTGCACTGCCACAACAACATAGTGGAATGAGAGATGTGGAAGGCAGTGTAAAATAAATCCAGTGCAAAGCAGGGGTGCTGTGGACATGATAAGAGAACATTTTGTCACCATTGTTACCCCAGACTATTCAATACCTTAACAGAAGATATCAGAAACACTGCTGGGACAAATGTAAAAGTCTTCAAGAGGGAACTGGAGAGATATCTCCACCAAGCACCAAATCAACCAGGCTGTTATGGATGTGTGGGCCAGTGGATTGCCAACAGCAATAGCCTGGTTGATCAGGCACACACCAGCCTGGTCAAAGGCCAGGCATCAGGAACAGAAAAACTCAAAGGTATATCTATGTATTGTACCAAAATGTTAATATGGGTCAATATGTACTTTATTCCTGAGTGAAAACCCCATCAGCATTACAGTGTGCTTACTACATATGATATCCATATCACAAGCAACAACTGTTGTTCAAATTATTATTTATGAAATCTTAGCCATAATTTTGTTTTCAGAAATTAAATCGAATAATGCAGAACCCATTCAGTATTTCATATAAATAACAGTAATGCTTATCCTTACCAGGGAAAACAATGATTTGTTGTGAAAATTGTTATTTGTTAAGATATTAGGCATAATAATACTTTTAGGAATACATAATCACATGACACAGTGAACCAGCAACCCAGCACTAAGTAGCTGGTAACACCCTCACCACTGCAGCAATACCAACACACTGTCTTTCACCACTTTGTGTAATATCATGTATTTTTTCCCTCTACAGTAAATGTGAATATCGTTATTTATTATTATATGTTAGGTTGGATTACATTTTTTCACGTTTGCATAAATGAAAACTAAGATCCGAACCAGATCAGTTTCAGATGATTTAGCTCCAAAAATAATGCCGAGTTGAAACCTGGAAATAATAAACATATTCACCTTAAGATGTTAGAATGCTATATACAGTAAACAGTAGCATTGTCCACTAATTGTAAGTCAGTTTTAAGGCTGCCCGAAATGCTCTTGCATAACCAGCCACCAAAATATGTCGCCTGTTCTTATAGAAATTGTATACCGTTTCACATGGATTTAATTTTTGTTAAGCCCTAAACCCACACAAGTCATTCAGTGCAAGACGTGGTGGCTAGATCCTTCGTCTGCTGAGCGCAAGATAGATGCACTTCCTATCTGTACTCGCCTAAATGTCCTGTTTCTTATGGAAATAAAAATTATCATTATCATTTACATTTGTAAAATTATTTTAAATGTACATAGATGTTGTAAGTAGCTATACATTGATGATGCATAACCCAGTAAGTCAGTGATGTTTCCATTGGGATCATTCGGTTAGATGGATACAGCGGTGATGGTTGTTGATGAAACAATTTCCATCCAAAACATGTGTATAATCTGCCCATATTCCTAATACAGTGGACCCCCAAGATTCGTCGACATCGACTTTCGTGAAATCCGACTTTCGGCAAGTTTTTTCGGCAAAATTTAGCCTCGCGGTTCGTGATTGGACTCGTGATTCGGCGACCGTCCGGTACCTGTCCGCCAGTCACCATGCACACAAAGCCAGTCTCCCGCACCATTCACACTCAGTGTGCCATTGTTTACCAGCACGTGACCATCACCCTGCGGGTTCATACAATACATTTCATAATAATCCATTGTTTTTTGTGCTTGCAACTGCTAAATAAGTCACCATGGGCTCAAGGAAAGCTACTGCAAGCCCTTTGGTAATGAAAGCAAGGAACATGATCGAATTCAAGAAGGAAATCATTGAAAAATATGTGAGCGGAGTGCGTGTTACAGAACTTGCCAGGATGTATGGCAAACCTCATTCAACCATCACTTCGATTGTGGTGAAGGGAAAGGAAATAAAGTGTGCTGTTGTTGCAAAAGGGGTAGATATGCTGACAAAAAAGAGATCACAAATCCTCGAAGAAGTGGAAAGGTTATTATTGGTGTGGATTACCCAGAACAGTTAGCAGGAGATAGTATTAATAAGTCGATAATATGTGAAAAGGCAAGGCAGTTGCATGACGATCTCGTAAAGAAAATGCCTGCAACAAGTGGTGATGCTTGTGATTTTAAGGCCAGCAGAGGTTGGTTTGAGAGATTTAAGAAGCGTAGTGGCATTCACAGTGTGATAAGGCATGATAAGGCTGCCAGTTCTGACAAAAAAGCAGCTGAGAAGTTTGTACAGGAGTTTAAGGAGTGCGTAGACACTGAAGAATTCAAACCGCAACAAGTGTTTAATTGTGACAAAACAGGCCTTTTTTGTTAGAAAATGCCAAAGAGGACCTATGTCACGCAGGAGGAAATGGCACTCCGAGGACACAAGCCTATGAAGGATAGGCTTACTCTCATGTTTTGTAGTAATGCTAGTGGGGATTGCAAAGTGAAGCCTTTACTGGTGTATCACTCTGAAAATCCCAGAGTGTTTAAGAAAAACAGTGCCACCAAGAGTAATTTGTGTGTGATGTGGAAGGCTAACAATAAGGCATGGGTCACAAGAGGAATTTTCCTAGACTGGTTTAATGAAGTTTTTGGCCCCAGTGTGAAGAAATACTTCCTGGAAAATAAATTGCCACTCAAATGCCTCCTGGTAATGGACAATGCTTAAGCTCATCCTCCAGACTTGGAAGAGCAAATAGTGGAGGAGTTTAGTTTCATCACGGTGAAGTTCTTGCCCCCTACTACAACTCCTCTCATCCAACCCATGGACCAGCAGGTCATTTCAAACTTCAAAAAACTCTATACCAAAGCAGTGTTTCAAAAGTGCTTTGAAGTGACCTCAGACACTGAATTGACCCTAGGAGAGTTCTGGAAAGATCACTTCAATATCCTCACTTGCATAAACCTTATAGGTAAGGCTTGGGAAGGAATGACTTGCAG